GGCTGAGCGAGCAACAGGGGCAAAGTGGTGCGGCGGTGGAGTAGCTGTGGTGTGTAGGAACTGCAGCTTACAGCTGCCACTTTGCGGTTACTCAGCTTGCAACACGTTTGCGATCAACCAACTGGCCAACTTCTGTTCCGCCTTTCGGTCACACAACAATTTTCGGTCAACAGGGCAGACGGCAGCTCACGGAAAATGTAAGCAGTATTTAATAGAAAAAGTTCGCAGATTTTCAGCAAAAAATCGGTTACTTTCGCTAGAATCATTAAAAAGCAACACCAAAGAAGGAAATGCATAAATATTGATAATGTTACATATAAACAGCTGGGTAGTATCCGGTGGATCGGAGTGATTTCGCGAAACTTGCCGCTGGTGCGTGTGCGTGTTTATGTACAATGTGTGCATTAGGGTGGTCCAAAAATGAAGTAAAGACGGAATTTTTATGCTCTCACCATTGTTCAATACCGAAATTTTTTATTTAGAGTTCGCCTCCAAGCGCTCAAAGTTTCCCATGTACACATATTATCTGGGGAAAAATCACTTTTCGTAGAAATGGTATAGAATTCTTGAGAAGCAATATAATTCGATCGGAAAACTTTGTTTCTCTTCAGGAAATACCCAATAATAATACGCAATTATTTAACTAACAATTTTTTCATAGCAACTATATTTTATAGGTCCGCCAAAGCGCCCAGAAAATGCCAGAAAATGCAATGGGGGGATAAAAACCAAAACCTTTAGTATTAAAAATTGGTTAAATAAACAATTGGGTATTGTTATTGGAAGTCTCCTGAAGAGAACCAGAGTTTTCCGAACGAAAAACATTGATTTTCAAGAATTCAATACCATTTCTACGAAAAGTTGTTTTTCCCCATATAAAATTATTATAATATTATGGAATACTTTGAGCGCGTTGAGCGATTTTTAACAAATTTTTTATTTAAAAATAAAAAATATTGGTCTACTTGCTTCGATATAGAACAATCCTAGGGGGTTTAAAATTACAACTTTGCTTGTTTTGGACTACCCTAGTATACATACATAAGTAGTTGGTTAACAAAGAAATTCCACCTAAATAAACCAGAGTTTTCATTTCGAAATATCAAAATTGCACAAATTTGGCATGGCGTATGTATGTACTTAGATATGCGACGTGCGCATTACAATTTCAAAATTATGCTTTCGAACTTTTTTTTCGGTGGCAGAAGGCTTTTGCTTTTTGTTAATTATGTATCCTTTTTCTAATTTTGCTGGCAGCAATTACATCCGCTTTTGTTGCATTAACATACATTGCAAAGTTTAGAGTAAATTTACGTATGTAGATTGAATTAAATATAAATTAAACGAAAATAAGCTGTAAGTAAACTGTGTGTATATACAGTACCGGTCATATCTATAGCACGCCATTTCCAAGTGATATTGTGTGCCCCTTATGTTTATTTATTTATTTTTAAGAATTTTCAATTAAAATTTAGTTCATTCTCAGACAAACCCCATATATGCCCAAGTTCAACAATTTGTCGAAAACTACAAAAAAGTGTAACAAACTTTCACCTAAATTTCAAACTTTTTTCTCGGAAGTGATAGAATTTTTTTGAGTACACAGTTTTTTAGCCCCTGCAATTTTAGTCTGATAATGTGCAAATTTCAAGTGGCTACGAATTACCGTTAATTTTTTTAGAATTTTTTTGTCGCATTGGCTTCTATATCTACTATATATTTTTGGAAGAATGTATGTATGTATGTATACATCGTTATCGATTT